TAAGATGAAACAATCTTAGCACACACAGCCGATCCAGGACAGCCAACAGAGCATCATCTCTGCCTGCTTCGCTTTATAAAGCCTGAAACACAAAGGTGCATCCTGTGAGGCAGGCTTACACATATCTGGGCTTTTTTATGACAAAGATTCACAGGCTGGTACTACACTTAGGAATGTCATTCCCTGTGAATTTACCTCAGGGTAAAACCCTTTGGTTTTGGAAGCAGTTCTAGGCTATAAATGGTAAATCTTCAAAGGGCTAAAAGAAGGTACTAAAAACAGTGAATAGCATCTTCACATATTTGGGTATTTTCTGATTTCAATAATATTTGTCATATCTAAGATATTGGACTAAATAAAATCAAGTCAAAATCAAATTCAAATTAATGTCAACCACATCAGTTTTTCTCTTTAAAACAATGTGTTTCAAGTAACTTAGGCCCATGGGGCTTACAGAGACTAAAGCACCAACCAAAGAGCGTGCATAGACTGAATCTAGGCCCCCGACACACATGTAGCTGATGGGCAGATTCTTCATGTGGGTCCCTAGCAAGTGGGATCTAGCAGGGGTTGTCTCTGACATGGACTCTAGTGCATATTTTTAGTCATTTTTCCCTAGCTGGGCGGCCTTGTTTGGCCACAGTGGTAGAGGGCGCCTTTGGTTCTGATGTGACTTGACGTGCTGAGGTAAGTCCGTATGTGGATTGTCCCTTTTTCTGAGGAGAAGGGGAGGGGGAATGGGATAAGAGAGTGGGAGAGCAGGACAAGGAGGATGGAGGATCTGGGATCAGGATGTAAAGTAAAAAAAAAAGAACATCAACATAATAAAAAAGAAGAGGGGGTAATAGAGGACTATCATATAGAAGTATACAGAAATAATAGGAGAAATGAATCTGCTCTTCAACCATAAAAACTATTGTCATTCTCATATGTTTTTATTTCATTGGTATAGAATCTGTTTATTGATATAGAAATAAGGTTATTTTGATAAATTGGTATAGAATTTTATATATTGATTCAAATTTAAGGTTATTTTGATATTCATAGGTATGTATGCTGCTACGCTGGTATGAGGTATTGGACCTATAAAACTCATTTACAAATGTAAGGTTAAAAAAAGCTTTTAAAAGCTGCTATTACAAACTGTTTTGGATAATTAACTTATGTAAGTTGTGCTTAAGCAATCAAACTCATGGTCGTGTCAGATAATAGATGGTGTGGAAAGAATGTAGTATTCTGTTTCTGTGATTTAAAAAAACATTCTAAGAAAAAACAAAAAATCAAAAATCAAAAAACAAACCAAAACAAAACTCGAGAAGAACAGTTTATTCCAGCTTACATTTCAATCAGTCATTGGGAGTAGCCAGTCTAGGAACTTAAGCAGGAACTCACAGTAGAACCAGTAATGTTGCTGTCTTGCTTGCTTGGCCCAGGTCAACCTGTCTGGGGCTGTGCACTCCTCCATCAATTAGCAATCAAGATAAAGTCCCAAAGACACTTTTTCAGGCCAGTCTGACAAAGTCAATTTTTCATTTGAGAGTCCCTCTTCCCAGATGATGCTAGATTGTATCATTTTGTCAGTAAAAATTAGGCTAGGAAGAAAGTTGGGAAATTCTGACTTCTGGACATAATAGCTGTTGCATGGTCATAGCAGTTAGGGTTACCTGCACAAGACCTGAACAAGAGCAAGCCAGTCAAAATTCCAACATGGATGCTGACAGAGCCCTTGAGGAATCACCTTAGTGCATGAGTTGTTGATAATTGATGGCTACAGAGGGAAGGATAGTCACTCTTCCTTGGATATGTGGCCACTGGTAGGTTGTCCCCTCTCCAGTAGATGGCTTCATACCCAGGCTGAGGGTATAATTAATAAAAGCTTAAAAAGAAGCAACAAATTAGGAAGTTGACAAGGTTGAGCACTAGGGGAGTTAGAGGAAGGTAGTGGCTCTGGTCAAAATACATTGTATAAATACATGAGATTTTCAAAGAATAAATAATATTAATTTTACAAGAAAAGAAAGGGAGTACAAGATTGTGAAGACCCTCCAGTTACTGCTGAAATATGAGCACTGAGAAGAGCAATATCAAATAGCCAGGCCATTTAACACAAACAGATGAGTGTGGTAGAACAACAAGATGGGTGAGAAACAGAGAGAGCAGAGGGGCACTGCCAGTTATAACAGCTTCAGATCCATCTTTAGCCAGTCAGTTTTGTTCAGTCAGTGAGCTCTAGGTTCAATGAGAGGCCTTGTCCCTGAAAATGAGGTAGAGAGCAGTTAAAAAATAATTCAATGTTGACCTCTTGCCTCCTCATGAGCACATACACATATACCACATACAAACACATACATACAACATGGACACAGAGATATAAAGCTAACTTTGTCTGTCTGTCTGTCTGTCTGCCTATCTATCAGTCTGTCTGTCTCTTTCTCTCTAACATCTATCTATTTGTCTACCTATCTCTGTCTCTATCTAATCTCTACTATGTAGGGATGTCTCTCCAGTGTGTGACATGTCTCTCTTTCATCTTTTCCTTTCTTGGAAATGAACAAAGAAAGCAGGCCTAGCCTCTTTTCAACAACTCATCTCACCAACACCATTATTTGCACCCCATGCCCCAAAGAAAAAGCAGAACCTTGAGCCCTAATATCTGCAGTCCTCTAGCTGCCTCTTTCTCTGTTAGCATATGAGGACATGGAAGCTGAGCTCCAGCTCAGCTGTCCTTCGTGGGAATTCCTTTTTCAGTTCTTTGACTTTGGAATTTTGTGCATCTCCTAGACAAAGACTGGACTCAGAAAACACCTAGGCATGGGTAGGCAGATACAGTCTAGTGAAAGACTGTATCTAGAAGAAGCATCAGGACAATGCTTCTTCTGTGGTTAGAACTGGAGACTGATTCACAGTACAAGGGCCAGAGAATAGGAGCTGTCCCTGGTCCTGGCTAGCATGGCCAAGTGGTCAGTCCCACCTTCCACAGCCTCTGCCAGGAGCCTGATGCTGTTGGGTTCACTCTTTTGCCTATTTTGTAATCAGATCTTTTTTCCTTGCATTTAAGTTAAGCTCTCTTTCTCTAAATTTTGTCTGGATTAACAAATATAGGGTTTGAAAATATTTTTATTTCACTCTGTTGGTTGTCTTGTTATAGTTAGTCTTTAATACACTTTGAACTGATTTTCATAAAAAAATCCCAACTCTATACTTCTGTATATGTATATTTAGCTTTTCCAATACTATTTTTTTAATTTGTCTTTTCCCTTTGGCATATCTGTGGCACATTTGCCAAATTTCAACTGATCATAAATATGACTTTACTGCTGTGATCTCTGTTCTATCCCATTTGTCTGTGTGTCTCCTTCACATGGCAAGTCCATGCTATCTTGATTATTAAGATTTATAGGACATTACAAGACCAAGTAGCATAACTTCTCAAGCTTTATTAATTTTTTTCCTCAAGATTTTCTTAACTAAGAAGGATCTTTGAGGTATCTGTATGAATTTTAGGATTTAGTTTTCCATTTGTTAAGATTAGTGGAATTTTCACAGGGATTACATTACATCTGTTAATTGCTTTAGAGTAGATGAACACTTTAAATTAATTTTTGTTGACTTCATGCAGTGTATTCTAATCATATTCACCCCATTTCCTTCTGCATGATTTCCTCCTGATCCATCCTCCTCTCTTCCACCCTTCCCAGGTTCATGCCTTCTCTAAATTTAAGTACAGCATTGAGTCCATTTTGCTACCCAAACACATGACTGTGAAGGTACAAAGCATCCATAGATAGACTTTTTAACAATGTTGTTTGTGCTAACCCATTGCCATAGGATAGCTCTCCATTTGTGTGTGTCTTCTTTCATTTTTTCCATGTGTTTAATGGTTCTCAATTTTAGGTGGAGGGTAGAGAAATAGCCTGATGGGTAACGTTTTTGCTGTGTAAGCAGGAGGACCTAAGTTCAGATACCCATCATCCAAACAAAATGGCAGATGCACCTGCATCTACATGTAATCCCAGCACTGAGAAGTGGAGACCGGACAACGATGGGATGAGTGGATATAGAAAATCGGTGAGCTCAAGATTCAATGAGAGACCCTGCTTCAAAAATTAAGGTGGACAATATTAGAGGAATATACCCAACATTGATTTCTGACCTTCACATGACGAAGCAAGCATGCACATCTCTGTATACATATAATGCACACACATAAACAAACACACATATGCATGCATACATTACACATGCACACAGACAACAAAAATAAATTAAATAAATAAGTTACTGTAAAAGAAAGAATAACCAGGGATGCTTCAAAATAGAGTTCTTTGGGCATCTTGTCCTATAATTCCAAATGGGAAGAAACAGGACAGTGTTCCAGGTTGATTGTTGATGCTACGGCTGGTCTGAGAAGTATACTTGGAGAAGCACCGTGTAAATCCCCTAAGACTTAAATGTTTAACAGTCAGTTGTGAAGCATGTAAGAATTTTAAATCACACCATAAAGACCTGACATCTCACCACTGCATCTCATATGTTACATGTCTTCACGTAAAATTCATAACCAACAGAAACCAAAGCCTGTTGATTCCCTACAACTGACTTCAATTACCACAATGATCTATGCAGCAGGCTGGGCCACTGAGCCTCTAATTTGTGTCACAGGATTTTCCAGCTAATGGATTTCTAAAGCAGTAAGAAAAATATTTTATTCAAAGAAGCATTTGAAATTTTACAGTTTTATGACATTAATATTTTCTCCAACATAAGTAAAATTCTCACTTTTCTAGTGGATTTGCTGTTTTAAAATGGATCCAGCTATTTTCCCAGTATTTAATGAATACCTGGCTTTAGATAATATCTGGTGAATCACAAGTGCCTTCAAAAAATATTTCTCAAACATACTTTAAAAACAACACAGAAATCTCAGAAGTTGTGAAATCAGGTGGGCAGGTCTGTATCTCCCAAGAGTATGAAAGGTGTATAATAAACCACGCAGAGTGTTTTATATAATGCTCTAAAACTTTATTCCTTGTAAGTATCTTGATAGAGACTCAAACTGTAGGAGATTTACATAGGCAGGACAGGAAAGCAGTTCACAGAGCCATAATGAATGAATATAGAAGTGAAGCTTGGCAGATTAAAATCTGTACTGAACCGAACAATTCATCCCTGATGACAACCTTATGTTTTACACTTAGTCATATATATTGTATTAGGGCTATGTGTAAAGTGAAAACAAGTCAATGAAGCCTGAATGATAGGGGTCATAAAATTGATTAATGTTAATGAGAGGCGAGAAATTACATTTTAACTAAACTGAAAGTATAAGATATCTAATCAAACAAAACTCTGAAAGATCTACTACTAGGTGCAGGGGGAAGTTAATATACTTTTACTTCAGAGAATTTTGATTTATTTGGTGCTGCCCCACTATATTAAGAAAAGTAATGAAAGCTGACATTTCAAATTAAAGTTTTTGTTTTCAAAGAAAAGAAGCAGTTATTATATCTCCATCAGCAGATTGTTGGTTGGCCTCCCAAACTCTGCCATGACGTCATTTTCTCTTCATGACTTTATCTTCTGAAGGGCATTGCAAAGAATTCCAACCTCACCTACAAAGAGAAACAACACAAAGTTGAGACACTCATTAATAAATACAAAGCCCAATAGGGTCACTGGGATGTATCACCTTAAACCTAATTACGGAGGCAACCCTAGTCCAGTTCTAATGTGTGTGGTGAGTGCTAGGGTTGCCTGTATAATTTGATTCCTCCTTTTACAAGCTGTTTCCTGGAACTTAAGAGCTTTTTCTAAACAATGGATTTTCTAAGCAAATGACTAGATCTGTATGCTCTTTTTGACATAGCTATCCATAAAAGCTTCAAGACACTAAACTGGTAAGCATAAAAGAGTGGGGTTCATTTAATTCTTCCATGTTGGAATCACCTGAGATTCCAAGTGTCTGAACAAATTTAGTAAATTTAGTTTGAGACCCTAATTCAGGACTATAATTTTTTTCAGCTCTTGTGGTGATTTCAATAGCAATGCCCCCATAGGCTGAAATAATTGGATGTATGGTCATTAGTGAGTAGAGGTACTTGAGAAAGATTAGGAGGTGTGGCCTTGTAGGAGGAAATGTGTCACTTTGGGGTTTCATAAGCCCAAGCCAGGCCCACTGGCTTTTTCTCTTCATGTTGCCTGTAGATCTGGACGTAGAATTCTCAGCTCCCTCTCCAGCACCATGTCTTCCTGCGTACCACCATGCTTCCTGGCATACTGATAGTGGACCAAGCCTCTGAAACTGAAAGCCAAAGCCAAATAACTGTTTTTCTTTATTAGAGTTGTTGTGGTCATAGTGTCTTTTCACAGCAATAGAAGAATGACTAAGACGGCTCTCCAAAGGTTCTGATATACACCAAAGTTTACACAAGAAACCCAGCCTAGATTGTTAGACCTTCAGACCCATGTTTATGTAATTGAGTGTTGTAATTGACTTTGGTAATCATAAAAGGCTTTTGAATACCCAACAATGAAAAACTAAATAAAAATTAGATGCATAATGAACTAAGGTGGTTTTGGCAGGGCTTGCCTGTGTCATGTGATGCCAGTGCACTGAAGCTTTGGTTCTGGAAACACAGGATGCACACTTTGACAGCCATCATGCCCCATAACACCCACAAACTCTGCCTGAAACAGCTGGGTTTATATATGAGACTATTATAAATTATGAACTGCAGTGTTTTGATGATACATACAAAGTTTTCTGCTCCTAGAGAAACATGATTTAATTATAGAAAACTTTTAGTCTTCCTTGCAGTCATTCCTCACCCATTCATTTGAAAGCTCTTAAGTATATAATATAATCCTTATTAATGAGGCTAGGTTCTAGGAACTTTTTTTTGAGACACATATACAATATTTATTGGGAAAATCAGGGTAGAAAGCAATTTTATTTTCATAAGGGAATATAAAAGTCTGAGTACAATTAACATTCAAAAGATTATAGATTTTTAGATCATTTAAGAGTTTTGGAAAACTGTTAATCTTCAGCATAGGGAAAAATTATGTTTGAATTTCAGTGTAAATATCCCCAAATCTGAACACTCAAAAACTGGAAGTACCTCTGGTCTCAAAAAATTCAGATAGAGCCCTCTTAAATTGTTTTACTTTACAATCTATCACATTAGAGCATGAAGACAGAGCTTAGACACTGAGATATTTGCAGGTGAAGAAGAATAATCTTTAGGTCATGCTTGCTACATTGAGCATAACACTTGAGTTTTCTTGTCTATAGAGTTCCTTAGCAATTTATCATTAATTGAAAAATACTACATCTTATGAGAGAAAGTAGATTGTCATACCAATTAAATGTATTAATTAAAATAGAGTCTTTAGACAGCTTTTATGATTTACCAAATTCGTAATAGTTCTATTCCAGGAATCGGGTGGTTACTTCTCTTTATTTTTTTTGTTTGTTTGAAAACCAAAGAATAAAACATTAAAATTTGTGAACCTTCTAGTCTTGAGAAAGATAGTTTTTTCCCAACTATCTACTCGTTGTCATTAGAGACTTAATATTCTCACAATGTATTTACTCTTCCTTATGTGTTACCTTTGCTACCCACTCAAGTGTGAACACACATTTTCTGTGTGAATGTAGCAATGTAGCAAGCATGACCTAAAGGTTCTAGGAACTTAACAAAGAACCTAATATTGAGCTCAGCTCAGGACCAATTAAGGACAGAGAAAGCAAATAAATTTAAAATAATACAATGAGGAATCTAGCAACAAGGCTGCCTCAGTAAGGGCTCACTGTCAAAGATCTTCTAGGTCTATGTGAGCCGGCTAGAATGCAGGCACACTCAAAGCACACATCTTTATTCCCTAACAATGACAGTTTATAGAAAGAAGCAGCCATGTTTGAAAGTGACAAAGTAATAAGAGCAAGATTTGACAGGATGAGTCAGAGATAGGATATGCCCAACTCTCATGAGAACAGGACATAAAGAGATGCTACTTAAGAGCAGTGCAAAGAGAGAGAGGTTTTTGCTGAGAGTTTCTTACTGGGAGTTATACAGAGACAGTTTTTCAGAGAGAACAAAGTAGACACAGGTGAAGACTGAATGAGCCAGAGAATGAGAAGCCAGAAAATTAAAACATACTACCAGAATTAGTTTGAGGCCAGGCAGAGAAATTCAGTCAAAAGCCAAGAGAAGCCAGTTTGAATCAGATAGCTTGGAGAGGAGTTTAGGCCAGAAGAGCTGAGTTGAACCAGCCAGCAAGAGTTCAGAGTTAGAAGGCTTGAGAATGGCTCTCAATCTCATCCCCTTATCTGAGGAAATAAAAACAACATTTATAGAATCCTTTCACACACACACACACACACACACACACACACACACACACAGAGAGAGAGAGAGACAGAGAGACACACAGAGAGATCTGTAAATATGTAATGACATAGGAAGAACATACAAGCCAGTCTCCCTGTACAAAACAGAAAGGAAGGCAGCAGCAAAAACCAGGAGAGAGCACAGGGAACAGAAGCTGATTCGTGCTGCTAGAGGGTAATTTCAGTGAGAAATTATAGAGAACCAGGTGTGAACAGGGTAATCCAGCAATGTCTCAAGAGTAATAATTGTGCTGTCTTTCAAGAAAGAGCAAAAGGGCAGCAGCAGTAGATGAGTTCGGGAATGGATGGTGCTTCCAGTGGGTGTGAGCCACTTACTATTGATGGAGTCAGCCAAAATCTTCAGCTGCTGAGTGTTGTCCAGGACCTCAACCCTCTGAGTGTAGGGGTCATAGCGAACTGAGAAGGGCCGCGGGATAGTGGCGGCAAAAGCCCTGAAACCAAAACCAAGAGTCCAAGTGAATGACACCATTTAGAGAGAGGTTACTCTGAAAGAGTTCTGAGTGGCTTTTACTTTGCTGTGAACCCTAAAACTTTCTAGAACAGAGGTTGAGAAGCTGGGGCTGAGATGTGGAATACAGCTGAATGAAGTCATCCGAGGAAGCTCTGGACAGTTGAATGACACCTTGTAGTGACAGTGAAAGCAGCATAGATTAGGTGTCTGGTATGAATGGAGGACCACATTAAATTGTAACTGCTCTACTCATTAAAAATACCATTCCTAAGTTACCATTTACAAAAGCCCTAAAAATTAGGCGATGCTGTTACTAACAAGCTGCCTGATTCTGATCTGGGTGTTTTCTTGCCTTCCCTATGCATGACTCCTAATTCTGGAGGAATCTCCCAGGAGGGCCTTTATAAGGGACATCGATCTATATAATCAACAATACACTCCACAGACATCTAAGATACTATTTCTAGGTTAGCCTATGATGGAAGCTACTGTATTGAAAATGACAGTTATCAGGACTGACTGTAAGTCACCGCAGATTTGGCAAGAGCCGCATCCAAAGTTCCCAGTTCAGGCTGTCTGGGTTCCTTCCCTGTCAGTTTGTGTCTGTAATGATCAGGTAGCAGGGTTTCCTGTAGAAGTCATTAGGTCCAACCTCCCAAAAAGTGGAAAGGATGCCTGTGGAGAGCTGAGGGGCAGAGACACCATCTGCTGTGCGCAGTTGCTGTGGACACTGGGGTCCAGATAAAAGGCCTGCCTGATCCGGCTGTGGACACTGGGGCCCAGACAGCATTGCCCGCCTGACCCGGAAGAGCCGGAGAGCCAGGGACCCTCTTTGGTAGTCTTCTCACCTCACTTTCTCCTTGGCATCGTTGAAACTCTCTGCCACGTAGTACAGGGGCTGGAACTCTGTGACAGTGTATTCCTGGCAGGCTGTCTTCTCTAGCTCCAGGGGCAGGAGCTTCGGCTTGTCTGATAAACAGTACTGCATGGACCAGTGAAAAGTTTTCAGTTAAGTGAGGGCCTTGCTACCTCCTGTATCCCATTTGCAAAGCTTCTCTCATCTCGCCGTTTTCCTACTTCAGTGCAAATGCAGAAAGCCAAGTTACATAGCCTGGACTAGATTCACCTCTTCCCAGATCATCTAAAACCTACAGTTAGATAGAAGTTAACAATTTGCTTCAAACACTTTCTAACAGGGAGTACAATAGACATTGTGAGAGCCGACCATACTTTTTGGTATATGTTTGCATGCTTACAAAGTTGTAGTCCCTAAGTCATCCTTGGGCTCAGGAGGCCTCTCCTTCACTCAGCCCTGCAGAATTGCACTTGAACTTCTCTCTCTAACAACACATTTGGGATCAAATCATAGCTGCTAAGGTACCAATTGCCTGAGGAAGTGCACCTCCAATTTTCTACTAATAGCACTTGAGAAAGCCAGGAGAATGAGAGTTATCCTCCAAACCCCTGCTTTTAATTCTCCATGCTTGGTTTTTGTGAGACTCGTACCTGTAACTCTCCAAAGGATGACAGGAGCCCAGCGCCATATGCCTTTATAGAATCCCCTTCCTTGCAGAGCCCAAACTCCACAGTAAACCAGTAAATCTGGAGTGGAAAGCAAGCAGAAGACACATGGCAAGGATGAGCAAGGTATCAGATACCCAAAGAGCCAGGACAGATCTGGTAGGTAGGCGTCTGTGCAGGTATGTCCTTTGAACCACTTTGACCTAGGGTCACTTCCATGTTCTGTCTTGTTCTATCCAGTTGCTTGTTGAATCAGTGATGGAGGAATCGTGGCGAGATAAGACATATAAGAATGTACTAGGATCTCGCCGAAACATCCACAGTAAGTTCCTCTCTCTGTAACAGGAATGCCTCTATGCCTTCTGCTTTTCTTTCTATGGCACAAACTAGAATGGTAGATTCCTAAGATGCTCTTAGATTATTAGGGTTCAGCTAGTAGTTTTATCAGGCCAAGAATGGGTTATTTAAGGATAGTAAGAGAGTCAATGAAGTCCACACTCCATCTGTTATGAAAAAAACATGGGGGGTGGGTTGCTGCTGAAGTCAACCTCTACATGTGTCTTGCCAAATAATCACACCCTATTCTTCCAGTGCCTCCTTTTCCAACATGTCTTTGATATCTGGCCCGGGTAGCACTCTTGGAGTTCTGGCACTGATAGAAGACCAGGATTCCATTGCAAGCTAGAGATGGTCACCATCTTGAAGAATTAGGGATACATTAACAGTTAGGTCTCCTCATTAGACTAAGAAACCTTAAATACAAGGAGGTCCTCAGAGCCCAGTCAATGTGACGTCATGATATCCAGCAAATCTTCAACCCAGGAAGTTAAGGCAACATGCTTATAGTGATGCACAGAACTAAAGGCACAGAAAAGCCATGTCCATACAGTGGGTCTTTTTCTCATCAGCAGGGGACCCAGAGAGGCATTCTGAATTCTAAGAGTTTGCTTCCTATAAATAATAAAATCTAGCCACTTTCTCAAACACCTTTGAAAGCTGCTTCTCTACGATACCTAAATTGTAAAATCTCATGTTCACAGAAATTAAACTCTTTACATACTCATGAAATCCTTTTGGGATGGGCAACTAACTTTTATGCCCATTTCTAGAACAACCAAAAATCAATTACCCTGAATCTCAGAACAGATGGTCAGTGAACAAAACCTAGAAGTTTCTAGCCTTTCTGAGGAAGTGAACGTATAAACTTCTAACTGGACATATCTCAATGTTAGTCTTGCATTCATTGTAGTTTTTAATTTAATATCAAGTTTGGGGTTTTGATTTTCCAGGCTGGGAATATGGTAAAAAACGTGGTTTTAAACCTGGAGAGGGATATACTGAAACCAGAAAAATGTAAGGAAGGAAGCTGCCAGTGGTACATATCTGGTGTTTCCAGAGCTCCCGTATGTGCAAGGCCTCTGGCTTTCTTGTGAGAGAGAAATGTTTGGCAAGAGTACAAAGCCCAGTCCCATATTCACTGTCTGTCTGAGAGGCTGGTTCTAGTGCAGAGGCAGAGAGCTCTCTGAGCAGAGCTGTAAATCCAGCCAGTTTCAGACACACTTTGGGCCAAAGTATTTCAGGGCCATTACTATAGCTGTTTGGTGTTTCCAAGAAGATTCTATTAACAAGTATGTGGGAATATCCTCATGCAACTAACAACAACAAAAAAAACCCTCATATCAGAAGATGGAAAGATCTCCCATGTTCATGGATTGGTAGAATTAACATAGTGAAAATGGCCATTCTGCCAAAAGCAATCTGCAGATTCAATGCAATTCCCATCAAAATACCAACACAATTCTTTACAGACCATGAAAGAAAAATTCCCAACATCATAGGGAGAAACAAAAACCCCAGAATTTCCAAAACGATCCAGTACAACAACAGATCATCTGGAGGTATCTCCATCCCTGATCTCAAGCTGTACTACAGAGTAATAGTAAAAAAATTGCGTGGTTCTGGCATAGAAACAGAAAGGAGGATCAATGGAACCAAATAGAAGACTCAGAAATAAACCCACACACCTATGGATACTGGATTTTTGACAAAGATGCCAAAATCATTCAATGAAAAAAATAAGACAACATCTTCAACAAATGGTGCTGGTCCAACTGGATATCTACATGCAGAAAAATGAAAATGGATCCATATTTATCACCCTGCACAAAATTAAAGTCCAAGGGGATCAAAGACCTCAACATAAACCCAGATACATTAAATCAGTTAGAAGAAAAAGTGGGGAAGAGCCTAGAAGTCATTGGCATAGGAGACAACTTCCTGAACAGAACATACCAACAGTACAGGCTCTAAGAGCAACAATCAATAAATGGGACCTCGATTGGTGGGGCAAGTTGGCGGCGCCGGGAGGAATCTCATTCTGACCAGCAGCACAGCAGGATTGGCACAGTGACCAGCAATCAGAACTCTGGGCCATAAAACACAGGCGATTGTGTTTCCCAGGTGAGAGGATACCCCTCGGTGGGGGATTCAATCAGCTTTTAACTCACCCGGCTAAACCTCGGAAGAGATCATGGTTCTGCCAGATGCTTGGTCACCAGCCCCAGCCCAGAGCCACACACCAGCGTGCTCTGGTCACAGTCCCAGACTGAACCGTGAGCACGACACTATCAGAGACTGGAATTTGCAGTCGAGAGATAACCCCACGGTGCAGGAAACGATTGGGACCGACCTTGGGTCACCCAGACATCCCCTGGAAAAGACTTGGGTTCCACGGGCGCCCCAGAAGCCAGCCCTGAGCCAGAGCCGGGACCCAGGCGCCTGCACAGAGCCCTGCCTGCGTGCCTGATTCGCTGCCTCAGCTAGAACTTCGGGCCTCAGGGCACCAGAGACTGAGTCTCACTGTCGGTGCAAACCCACAGGGAGGGAAACGGCTGGTCTGATCTCAGAGCACTCAGCCAACACCCCCACCGCGAAAAGGTCTTGGGAAAATTACCCAGTTTAGGCAGATGCCCAGGCTCCCAAAGGCCGGAAAGGCAGACACAGGTAGTTTCTGCATGCCAGCTAGCTGGCGGAGACTGAGCGGTGTGCCCCAGGGCAAAAAAGAGACTGAGAATCCCTGTCTCCAGAGAATCCACAAGGAAGGAAGGAAACTGTACTGACTTAAATCACCCAATCCTTCCCTGGAAAAAGACTCCCAGACCGGCAGGGCCAAGCCGCCATCACTGAGCTGTGCTTCAGACACAGGCAGTTTCTGTGCGCCAGCTAGCTGGCAGAGACTGAGCGGTGCGCCCCAGGGCAAAAAAGAGACTGGGAGTCCCTGTCTCCAGAGAATCCACAGAGAAGGAAGGAAACTGTACGGACTTAAATCACCCAGTCCTTTCCTGGAAAAAGTTTCACAGACCAGCAGGGCCCAGCTGCCATCACTGAGATGTGCTCCAGACATAGGCACAAACAGTTGCTGTGTGCCAGATGTCCAACTGTGTCACAGCAGCTGATCATTAAATTTACAGCAAGAAACCCAGAAACAGAGCAGCTGTCTTCAGGACTTCCATGGGTGAGAGGAGAACCTTCTCAACTAACAAAGACCACAGTTACCACTCAAGTCTCTATCCCTGAGGTGAGCAGCAGCAACTCCTGAAAAATCACCAGCCATACAAGGACTATACCCAAAAAGCTGAGAAGACTTTCTTCAAGAAAAACCAGCTTTCTGCCAAGGGAATTCTCTCCACCACAGGATCCCCAGGAACCACCAGAAACTAACAACAAACTCCTAAGATAGCCCAATGGGTAGAGGCCAGCGTAAAAGCTCAAGCAACAAAAGATAGAGCAATATGGCATCTCCAGAACCCAGTTACCCAGGGGCAAGTAGCCCTGGACACCCCAGCATAACTGAAATCCAAGAAGATGACCTAACAACTATGCTCATGAAGATGATAACAGAGGAAACAAATAAGATACGTAAAGACATAGAGGAAGATAAACTCAAACAGAATATTGCCATCTGTAAAGAAATAGAGGAAGTTGCAGCCAAACAGTTTGTGGCCTTTAGAAAGGAAATGCTTAAAGCACTGAATGAAATAAAAGAAAAAGAGGTTGGTTCAAACAAACAGCTGAAAGAAGTGATGGAAAAACAGGAAAATACAGTCAGATAGGTGAAGGAAATCAACAAAATGGCTCAAGATCTGAAGATAGAATTGGAAAAAATTAAAGAAAACACAAATGGAGGAAATTGCAGAGAGAAAGAACTTAGGGAAAAAAACAGGAACTACAGAGGTTAGCATAACCAATAGACTACAAGAGATGGAAGAAAGAATCTCAGGTGTGGAAGATACAATGGAAGAAATTGATGTATCTGTCAAAGAAAATGTTAAATCCAAAAAATTCTTGACACAGACCGTCCAAGAAATCCAAGACAATATGAAAAGACAAAACCTAAGAATAATAGGTATAGAGGAAAAAGAAGACTCCCTTCTCCAAGGCCCAGAAAATATTTTCAACAAAATCATTGAAGAAAATTTCCCCAACTTAAAGGAGAGGCCAATAAGAATACATGAGGCCTACAGAACACCCAACAAATTTGACCAGAAAAGAAAATCCTCCCGCCACATAATAATCAAAACAGTAAGTATACAGAACAAAGAAAAAATACTAAAGGCTGCAAGGGAAAAAGGCCAAGTAACATATAATGGCAAATCCACTAGAATCACACCTGACATTTCAACAGAGACTATGAAAGCCAGAAGGGCCTGAACGTATATCATGCAGACCCTAAGAGAACACATGTGTCAGCCCAGGCTACTCTACCCTGCAAAACTCTCAGTCCTCATAGATGGAGAAAACAAGATATTCAATGACAAAAACAAATTTCAACAATACCTACACACAAATCCAGCATTACAGAAGACACTGGAAGAGAAAATACAACCCAAGAAAATTAGCTTCTTTCAAGAAAACACAGGAAATAATTAACCCTACTACAGTAAAACAAAAAGCAACCAAGCACACAACCTTATGACCACAGCCAACATCAAAATCAAAGGATCTAACAGCCACTGGTCATTAATCTCTCTCAACATCAATGGACTCAATTCTCCAGTAAAAAGACACAGATTAACAGAATG